ATATATATTTATATATATATACTGTATATAAAAAAACAACATAAGTATCAGGTGTAGTGTGCTTTTTATTCCACCTCTCTGCTTGTCTTAATTTTCAGGACATTTAAAACAATCTTCACATCAATTCTGACCTGTTTTCTGATCCCTGTAAAATAAAAAACTTCCCCCAGCATAATGCTGCCACCACTGTGCTTCATTGTGGTAGATATGGCCACAGCACCAACGTATCTTCATAGCCCATAGGATGATTACAAAACGAACCGACAACTTCTCGCCAATGATGTAAAGTACATTTTCTACCTGTAATTAAAATGAAAATCTATTGAATTTCCAAGATGTACGGCAACAAAAAACAAAGCATATCAAAGGATTGAGTACGTTTGCAACCCAAAATATGCTTAAAGATCCCACAACCAGCCTGTGGTGCGTTTGTCACTCATGTAATTATTGCTCGTGTGCAACAATGTGTCGTTTGTGTGTGTCTCAGTTACCCTGAGGTGGTGACGGGTGTTTTCTTCGTCCTGATGACTCTGCTGTGGTTCACCAGAGAGCCCGGTTTCGTGCCTGGCTGGACATCTCTGTTTGAAATGTAAGCATTAATGATGATGCAACAAGCATCCAGACATGTTAGTAATTAGTAGCTTTACTGTCTGAGGTGAAATGAGCCAAACATGAGAGACTAGAGATTATTTGTTATAAATTGCCATAATTCCAGGCAGTTTAACAGGGTTCTGTGTCTTGTTGTTAAATCTGTGCATGTTTGCCCTCCCAGGAAGGGCTACAGGACCGATGCGACGGTGTCTGTCCTTCTTGGCTTCCTGCTCTTCCTCATTCCTGCCAGGCGACCCTTCTCCTCCTCATCCAGCTGTAAAAACTCAGGTCAGTTTCACTTTTTCACTTTGGCCTGAACAGTACAAAACTTTGAGGGGTCTCATGAGGACACCAGGACATTCAAGTTCAACATACCGGACAACAAGTACAAACCTGCTGCAGTTTATGTTTACAGTAAATATCAAGCCATCACATCATGAAAGCTATACTTAAAGACACTAAATACATTTAAAATAGGCAACAACATAGACAAAAACATTTGTTCTGTTGTCAAACAGGATGACACAAAATAAGCTGTTATATTTTTTCTTTGGTTTTAAACTCTCAGAAGACGAATCAGACTCAGATCCACTTGCCCCCATGATCACTTGGAAGGACTTCCAGAGACTTATGCCGTGGGAGATTGTCATCCTGGTTGGAGGGGGCTATGCACTCGCAGCTGGCTGCAAGGTAATATGCATGCATGTCAGTGTATGTGCCACTGCTTTACTGTACTAGCAACTTCATACAGCCTCTCTCTTAATAGGATTTATATGGTACATTGGTACTTCATCTAGCTATTTAACGGTCACTGATGGCGTGCCACAAGGCTCAATTTTAGGACCCCCTCTTTACAATTTATATACGTTATGCAGGTCAAAACATTCCTGACACCTCTTTTGCTGACGATATAATTGTTCATTGTCGAACTAACTCAGTTACCAAGGTTTTCCATCTTCTACAGTCTGCATTTACCATCATTCAGTCCCGACTTTTTCCATCTCAAACTGGTGCTAAATGCTGATAAAACAAAAGGGATGTTGTTCCATGCATGGTGTTCCCATTAAGTTTGTGGACTCTTACAAATACCTGGGAATTTTAATTGATGCACATCTCTCTTTTAAACCACATATTGAAAAACCTGTTGAAGAAGCTGAAATTGAAACTGGGTTTCTTTTTCAAAAATAGATCTTGCTTAACTCTGAATGTTAGAAAATGCCTTGTAGCTGAAACTTTCCTACCGGACACTGGTTATGGTGACATTATTTACATAAACGCCCCTGCCAGCTCCTTGCAGATGTTGGATGCTGTCTACCATGATGCACTAAGAGATATAACTACCATACTCACCACTGCACCCTGTACTCTTTAGTCATTTGGTAATCATTACCGTATTTTTCGGCCTATAAGTCACAGTTTCGTGCATAATTTACATGCCCTATGACTTATAGGCTGCAGCGATGTATTTATGGATTTTTTTCCCATATTTATAAACCAATTTTTGGCTGAAATATGATCGTTTTCATTCATTCTAACTGAAAAAAACCCACTACCATTTTCAGCCACTAGAGAGCAGCATAGTAGTAGTAGCTGTAAGGCATGCCCTTGTATCATGTAATAGATAAAAGTGGCTATAATGACAATTTCAAAAAAGTTCAAGACAAAAACAACTGGACTTTATTTATTATACTTTATACTTTATTGTTTTGTCTTGAACTTTTTTGAATTTACCATGTCCTGGATGACTGAGAATCTTCACCAGCTGTTAATGACAGCATTGGTTTGCCACAGTACCCCACCTTCGTTCTGCTCGCTGCTTGGAGCAAGTCAAACCAGCTGCACTGCCCCGGCGAAATGCAGCTAATTTGACCATTAAAGTGCATTTATTAAGTAAAAGTTCAACTGAGACACACCTTTGCTATAATTTTGAGCAAACAAGTAATTGTTTTTAAGTGTTAATTTTGTTAAAGTCCTCCCGTGCATGCTCCCACGACTGCCATTTGGCAGCTCATCGATTTTTGGCACAACACCGGTCGACACTTCCGGGTTCTGTCCACATTTCCGGGTTGTCAGCGGTGACGCATAATAGATGCGATGTATACAGCGAAGCGACATATTTATGGATGCTCCCACTTTTTTTAGACATATTTGGACTGATGCGACGTGTACGGCGGAAAATACGATATCTACACGTAGGCTCTCTCTCTGGTACATTTTCATCTATAACTCCCTCCTTGGTCTGCTACCTTCTTATATCTCCTCCCACATGCCATGTCGACAGTGCAGTTACAACATGCGCTCTCAGACCATCATTACCTGCAGCGTCCCCTCTGTGCGGACTGAACTTGGCAAAAAGGCCTTTTCTTCCTCTGCTCCTGTTTCCTGGAACAACTTGTAAAAGTATCTGAGGCTGTCCACTTTGATTTGTTTAAGGGGATTTTAAACATTTCATATGATCGTTAGAAAAACCAAAGCAAATATGTTCTTGTTTTTAGTATTTTACCTTGTTTATATGGCACCTTGATTTGGTTGCTTTTATAACAATACTTTTTATTTTAATTGCTTTTTATTGTTGTATATGGTTGTCTGTACTTTATATGTTGTCTGTCTAAAACAGGTCTCTTGTAAATGAGTCCTCGTGGCTCAGTGAGACTAACCTGGATTAATAAAGGTTGAATGAGTATGAACAAAGATCTTGCATGGCCTGTTAGTGATGTGTTGGGGATGACTCTCAGACAGTACCACACAAATTCTTTGTTCAGTCTCTGTAAAATTCACCAAGCTATATCCAATTTTGTTTGCTAATGTTGATTTAGCTGTTGTGGTCGTCTTGAATTGGGTTGAATCTATTTAAATAAACTCTGTCCAGGAGTTCAGGATACAGTTTGCTAACAAACAAACACATATGACCAATCACTTTTTATAGCAGTATGCAATAACATGATCAAATCAGTGCAGGCGACTGTAAAATACTTTTTTTTCTTTGAGGATGTTCACATGCGTCGTGTGTTTTGTAGGTGTCCGGCTTGTCCGTGTGGATCGGCAGACAGCTGGAGCCCATGAGTGGTCTTCCTCCCTGGGGTGTCACCCTGCTGGCGTGCCTGCTGGTGTCAGCGGTGACGGAGTTCGCCTCCAACCCTGCGACCCTCACTGTGTTCCTGCCCATCTTATCAGCTCTGGTATGACACACTTACTGCACCTTCAGTCATGTCAAAGCCTGGACCGTGCTACGAGTTGTAACAAATATCTGATGGGAGGTGCACTGCAACAGGGAAGAGGATGTGGACAGGATTATGAGCAAACGGTTGTAACACAAATAAGCTGAAGAATGGGCTGATTTTCAGCTTTTGGCTTTGAAAGGTGAAAGGATTTTGTAATGGCGTCTGGTAGTGCTCCTGGTGCTCCTATCTGCTTTATATGTAATGATTTGAATACATGCTGGCATCCATCATATCTATTATTTTTTTTATTATTATTAGACCTTTATTTATACAGGTTAGTTCCCATTGAGCCTCAAAGACTCATTTACAAGCGAGACCTGTTACATACGACATACAGGCAGATGAGACAAAGGGAACACGAGGGTGGAGGAAGTTTAAAAAAAATCATCTCGCACCATGTCCTGGCTGGGAAACAGTGTAAAATTGCAACAAAAAAAGGACCTTGCAACATAAAACAGCAACATATAATATCATAATACATTTATGCATAGAGGTTGATAAAGGTGGTGAGTTATGCATAGACACTCCAGAAAGTTCCAACGTTCTGATAAGATGGTACAGTGTCTGTCAGCATCCTGGTTCTGATAAGGCCACATTTTAGCTGACTAATAAGAATTATTATTTTGCTAAGGAACCCAGCAGAACAAAAGAACCTCAAATAGTTAGCTGTGTTAAATGAGATAGAGGCATTGCAACTGTTACCCAAAAAGCTTTTCTTTTTTTTTACTTTAGATCACTTTCTTGCTTTAGAGCATTTGAAAGACGCTTTAACATAGAGACATTTTATGAGATTCTTTCCCAAACCTTACACCTCTGGAGGTTTTAATAAAATGTCTGTGGCTTGCTTTAGTCGAAACAGAACAAGTTGATGATTCCAGAGTCAGCGTACTCTATAAGTTGCCTCCGGTCATTCACAAATGCACCAATCACATCCCACGACGATACGTGTAAATGAATTACAGAGTCAGTGAATGACAATGTTTGGAATAGTTCAGGCATCACACCCATTCGTTCATTCATTCAACCTTTATTTAGACAGATAAGTCACATTGAGCCTAGAAGACTCATTTACAAGTGAGATCTGTTTAGACGGACAAAAAGTAGTGAAACTGGACACATGTAGGAATTGGAGGCTTTTTTTTTCCTGCCTGAGAAGAAAAAACTCTTTTAAAAACCACCTCGCACAAACAAGCACATAGTGATGTAGCCATTCTGCAGAGGGGGACGACGAGAGCGGTGAGCGTGATTCATAGATGCTCTCGAGGTCACTGTAAGAGTTCTGATAAGGATGTAATCAGCCAGTGTCCTTACCAAAATACTGTTGTACATAACTGTACATTAGTTTTACCATAGATGTATAAAAACACCAGCATTACTTGGACTCAGCTCCTTTGTGTGAATCGTTAGTTCTAAAGAATCATTTCTGGTTTATCATAAAAAACAACTATTCTCTATACGGTTATGTTTTAACTGAACTTTTTCTTGTTCTTCCTTTCATTTCTCCATCTTCCCTCTTCTTCCTTTTTTAAAACCCCCTTTTCTGGGTGGTTTCCTTTTTATTCTCCATCCTGGCTCTCGTTCACACCATTTCTTCAACCTGTTACCCTCTTGTCCTTGATTTCTTTCTCTTCACTCGGTTTCTCTCCCAGTCGGAGACGCTGCACATCAACCCCCTCCACACTCTGATCCCATCCACCATGTGCGTGTCGTTTGGGGTCATGCTTCCAGTAGGGAACCCCCCCAACGCCATCGTCTTCAGTTACGGCCACGTGCAGATCAGAGACATGGTACAACACACACACGCACGTGCACATGCACACACTGATGATCTTTTTGCACCTGCGGCATCAAAAGACTAAAGAGGACAACACATCAAATTTGTTCTGTATGAAATTCCATTTGTTTTGTTCCTTCACTTTTGGGGATTCAAATAAAACTCTTACAAAAAAACAATATCTTTTCAAGTCGATGTATTTGTTATTTTAATTAAATTGTTTGCAGATGACATTGTGATCTGCGATGAGAGCAGGGAACAGGTGGAAGAGAACTTGGAGAGGTGGAGGTATGCACTTGAAAGAAGAGGAATGAAAGTCAGCCGTATTAAGACAGAGTACATGTGTGTGAATGAGAGGGAGGAGGTGGAACAGTGATGCTACAAGGAGCAGAGGTCACTAAGGTGCAGGACTTCAAGGACTTGGTGTCCACTGTCCAGGAAAATGGGGAGTGTGGTAAAGAGGCGAGAGAGTCCAGGCAGGATGGAGTGGATGGAGAAAAGGTTCAGGAGTGATTTGTGACAAAAGGGTGTCAGCGAAGGCCAAAGTAAAAGTTTACAAGACAGTGGTGAGACCAGCTATGTTGTATGGTGTGGAGACAGAGACATGGACAAAAAGACAGGAGACAGAACTGGAAGTGACAGAAATGAAGATGTTGAGGTTCTCCTTGGGAGTGACATGGATAAGCTTAGGAATGAGATCATCAGAGGTACAGCACAGGTTGAACAACTGGGAGATAAAGTTAGAGAGACCAGACTGAGATGGTTTGGACATGTCCAGAGGAGGGACAGTGGTAGAAAGATGCTAGAAATGCAGCTGCCAGGAAAAAGACAAAGAGGCTATATACAGTATGGATGCAGTTAGAGAGGACATGAAGGTAGTTGGAGTGAGGACAGAGGATGCAGAGGACAGAGATGGAGGAGGACAACTCGCTGTGAAGACCCCTGAAGAGGGAAAAGCCAAAAGAAGTATCTATTTAAAAAAAACATTTCTTTTTCTCTGTAATCTCCAGGTGAAAGCAGGCTTTGGCGTGAACCTGATTGGCGTGGCCGTGGTGATGTTGGCCATCACTACGTGGGGCGTTCCCCTCTTCAACCTGCCCGAGTTTCCAGCCTGGGCATTGGCCAGAAACATTACCGGAAACGTATAACCACCGTTGGGTTTGACGAAGAGAACAGGATGAATTACTGTTTGAAAAAAAAAGGGTTTTTATGACAAAGACAATAAGAAAATCATGTATGGACGTGGAGTGTCGAGTGCACCTTCGTCCCGATTAGACTGATGGAACGAACCTTGAACACGTGGAAGAGGAAACACTGGAAACATTGGTCTCTGTTGCTTACATAATGGTCCTTTTGGAGATATTTAACAAAAAGAATATACAACCAGAAATTCTACGTATGTCTCCTCCTCTGATACATTTAGACAAATAATCTGTATTCAGACAACTTTTAAAAACTTCTGTCATTTGTGGCAAATCGATCAATACTAGAAACAATAAGTTTATTAGAACTAATTTCTTAAACCAAGTCATGTCTACACATGAGTAAATAAATTGGAACTAAGCTGTGCAGCCCTTGTAGACAGGCGTCTTTCTTTTTGTACGGCTGGCAGGTAAATTTGACTGCATGTTGCCATCCAATAAAAAAAGAAAACAATCTTTGCCACTTTAAGAAAAAAACATTAAAATGAGCTGTTTACCATACAGTAGGTGCTGATGTAGTGTACCCACTGTACACATCACCCAGCCTTTATGTTCTTTGTTTCTGTGTCTTAAGCTCTAATTCTCTGGTTGTTCTCAGCTGCGACTAGAATTGGAAATGTAGTTTACCAATCTTCTATGATTGTTACCAAAGTTTCTAAAGTTGATTTAATGACTCAGATCTTGTTGCCTTCTTGAAATGTCATAATAGTGGAGACCCTCACTTTACTACCTGCTCTTTAAAGTGACCTTTTTGAAGTGGGTTCCTGTGTAAAAGCAGATAACGTCTTGAATTGCCTCCATGTATATGTGGTGCCGTTTGTAAAGTTACACAGTCACAATTAACAGCAATATTTTGGTTTATTTAGCCTTTCATAAAAAAAAAAAAAAAAAATTTCCAAAGTCATATTTTCACCGTTATTCATAAATGTCATAGTTCCAAACTAAATATTTAAATTACAAGCTAAATATTTAGTTTACAAACAAACTTGCAAGTTAAATATTTAGTTCCGAGCTAAACATTTAGTTAGCAAATTTAATATTTAGTTTAGGAATTAAATGTTTAGTTTTGAAAATAAATATTTAGCTTGGAAATTAAATATTTAATTTACAACTAAATATTTACTTCACTAACTAAATATTAAACTTTGAAGATAAATATTTAGTTTGTAAATTAAACATTTAGCTTGGACATAAGCATTTAGTTTGTAAACTAAATATTTTGCTTGTAAATTAAATTTTTAGTTTAGGAATTAAATGTTTTGTTTTGAAAATAAATATTTAGCTGGAAATTAAATATTTAATTTACAACTAAATATTTAGTTCACTAACTAAATATTAAACTTTCAAGATAAATATTTAGTTTGTAAATTAATTATTTAGCTTGGACATAATCGTTTAGTTTGTAAACTAAATATTTAGCGTGTAAATTTAATATTTAGTTAGTGAACTATGACATTTATAAATGTATGAATAACATGGTGAAAATATGATTGTGAAAAAAAAAAGTTTTTTCTTACGAAAGGCTAAATAAACCAAAATATTGATGTTAATTTTTGACTGTGTAACTTTACAAACGGCACTTCATAAGTGTGTAGGAAGAATTTACATGCGTGTTTTGTCCCCTTGTGGAGGGAAGAGGGGGAATTGGAAATACCCTTCGTCTGTCTGTCAGTGCTTGTATGACTTGAAAAATAAGAAACTTACTGTCTTCCATGTTGGTGTGTGGCAGCATCTGGAAGTAAGAAAGGTCCCTATCCAAAACTGGATTGCCAAGTCAAAATTCAAGATGGCCGCCGACATATAGATGCAGTATATAAAACTAGCCACCCCTGTCATTTAAGGAAACTATACTTTCTAGACCCAACATTTTTCAGTCAGGTCATCTGGACAGTTTCTTTGCTGAAATGTTTCACCTTCCATCCGGAAGGCTTCATCAGTCAAGGATGGAAGGTGAAAAAAAAAAAAAAAACTGTCCAGATGACCTGACTGAAAATTGTTGGGATTGTATACCTGGATTATTGAGCATGGACTTTTTTGGTTTACTTTCTAGATTTTATATTGCTTAAAAGTAGTTACCTTAAATGACTGGTGTGGCCTTGGCCACCTCTTTGTTCCGCCATTACACCTGGTGGGGGATAATATTGCTCCCTCCACTCACCAGGATCTGTTACTCTGCGCCATCTTAAACAACCTACCTCTCTTCTTCTACTCAGTAGAACTCCTGCCCACTTGTATGTTGCACCACAAACATTAAGGTTTACTTGCTTTCCCTGTTCAGTTCCAGTCCAGAAAAACACTCATCTTGAAATCCAACAAAGTTAAGTCAGGTCCTCTGGACGGTTTCGTTTTGTTGTAACGTTTCGTCTTTCATCCAAAAGACGTCATCAGTCCGAGGAGCCACAACAAACTCATTCTTCTAAATGGCACCCTCACGTAGCGGATCAACAAGTTTGATGGTTTCTGGAGTCCGCCCTCTCCCCCACCGTTCAGTCTTTTGGATGAAAAGCGAAACGTTTCAACATAAAGAAACCGTCCAGATGATATGACTGAACTTTGTTGGATTATTCATCTTGAAAACTAAACATTCACTATTCAAATCCCTCAGAGGCAGAGACATTGGCAAACTGCTGGTTTAGTCATAGCCAGTGACATTTTTGCTCAAATATATTGAACTTTTTGCATTTAGTTTGGGAAGCTTGTACGCAAAATCTGCAGTTCACTTGGCTATAACTGGAAACAATTCTTACAAGTGATTTACTTGGTTTAGATCGAGAGAAAAACTAAATGCCACAGTAAATATTTCTTTAAAAAAACGTTTTCAAATAACGACTTGAGTGAACTCGTTGTCGTTTTCAAATTTTTTTACTTGGAGCAACTGTGGTACAAAAACACAAAGATAAGAAAATACGAGTGGCTTCAGTGTTAATTTAAGCTCTGAATGTCCAAAAACCACTTTGGAGACTGGAAGTGAGTATGGGACGGCATTGTGCAATAGTTTTAATCAATCAGTAAATCACTGTTACTTGTACAATGATTAAAAACAAGAGTTTGTACAAAGCCTTAAATGTACTGAGCTCAAATGTTTGTATTTTTTACAGAAAGTCTACATGGAATTTGTCACTTTTTATATCACTGTATTCAAAGTATAGGCCTTGGTATAACCTATATATGGTGTGTATATACTACCATATATATGGTGCGTATATACACACCATATATATGGTGTGTGTATACTACCATATATATAGTAGTATATACACACCATATATATGGTGTGTGTATACTACCATATATATGGTAGTATATACACACCATATATATGGTAGTATATACACACCATATATATGGTGTGTGTATACTACCATATATATGGTAGTATATACACACACACCATATATATGGTAGTATATACACACACACCATATATATGGGTGTATATACACACACACCATATATATGGTAGTATATACACACACACCATATATATGGTGTATATACACACACACCATATATATGGTGTGTATATACTACCATATATACACACCATATATATGATAGTATAACCTGGATCAGATGCCTGCAGTTTTTCATACATCTTGCTGGTGTTGCAGCAGTGACCACTCCTCTGTAAATACACACGGACTTGTAATATAAAGTTGTCTTTGGATGTTTCAGACGAGTCGTAGCATTTCAATTATGCATTTTACCAGGAAAAGGCTGCCATATTGAGCCATGAAACAAGGCAGGAGAAAAAAAAAAACAATACATGTATAACAATAAAATCATCAACCTCATTTGGCTGTTTTGATTTATTCAAACTCAAGACCTTAGACTTTGAAAGATAAGACGGCGTCATGATCTCTTACTGCAGACAAAAACACTTTCAATGAAACCCTCAGAAACTGCGACTGTGAAAAGGAAACTATCAGTCCAAGAAAATACAACTGGCGTGTGTTAGGACGAATAACAGTGGCTGAAAGTAAATGAGTCAAACGTGTCCAACAAAATGAGTCTGTTCAGAAATCATCAGCTGAAACCATTTTTTAATGTTTATAGTTTCAAAAAGGGTCCATTTCAAAAGTACAGCTATTCAGATTCACCACTGCAGCATTAGTCCCAACAAATAAATAACGTCCACAAATGATTAGGGGGCCACAGAACGCTCCTCTGCACCTTTTCCACCGATGCAGACGCGGTTAAGTCCGTCTGGAGCTTTCCTTCAAGAGGTTTCTTTGGAGCCTTTGGCAGGTGTGAACCCTTCTCTCTCCATCTTCTCTTTATATTTGAGAAAGCTTCTCCGTTTGGTGAAATGTTTCACCTGCCCAGGACACAACAACAACAACAACAACAACAAATAAATCAGGAACAACAATGTGATTTAGAGATTACGCGTTAACAAATTTGTCTCATGTTCAAACACATTTTGCCTGAAACAAAGACTTTTTTTTTTTTTTTTCAAAAGCATCCTTTACCCACTGAGCTGGACATTTAGCCTCAAAATCCCTCTGGAACTTCTGACAGGATTCAATCTTGTCGTTGCTGTCATCTAAACACTGCCAAAGCTGGTCTCTGGCTTCCCAGCACACCTTCCTTTCAGCAGAGGTTGGAGCTGTCATCACTGCTTCACTCTGAGGAGACATTTTATTAGAAAAGATGCTTGGGTCAATCAGAAATAGCAGTAGCTGCTGTTCAAAGATGGTTAAACGATTGACAAATGCCAGAATCAGTAGCTGAACTATTTCAACACGGTCATTTAATTTTAAAATGACTAAACACAGTGAAACTGAATAAGGTTTTATCTACTCTCTGTAAGATTACACTTAATCATGTGTCTTACAAACATCTTAAACCACTGAACTAAACTATTTGACGTGTTTTTATGTTGTCACTCACTCAATAAAAGGTTTAAAATAAGCAAATCGCTCTGTCCTTCCTCGTCTGAGCCTTCCGTGTCCTCTCGAAGAACAACAAAAAAATCTTCAATAATATCGCTGTAAAGAAGCAAACACGAAACTTTACTAAAGAACGTGAAGGGCAACACGGCAAATAGCGACACTTCCTTGTCGCGCAATGATGACGTCAATGTAATGACGTACTTGTACCAAAAGATGGCGCAGTTTGAAAAGAAATATATCCGTCCGGCCTTGGAAAGCTTGGAAAATGGTAATGTAAAGAATGAAATGCAAACATAAACCTTGTTTAAAGTCATGTTAAAGATCAAATTAATTTACAAATGAGAGAAAATGTAATTCTCAATGAGAACCACGATAGTTTCTGTTCAACAGACTTGTGTGTGAAAGGAAACCTTCTGGTGTACTTTGAGAAAATGTAGCCAATTAGCTTTTTTCAGGCTTCGTGTTAGCATATACACACACACAATCTCAAATACAATAAATATAAACATAGTGTCGTGTTAAGGAGTTAATGTTGTGGAAAAATATAATTTGTCATTAGCATGTTATTTTTTTAACATAGCAAAACATGCTAATGATAAATCATATGGCATGTCTGTCATTCTTTACCAAACAAATAATTATGTGTAAATACAGATAACACATTTTAATGAAGTTTGTAGATTTTCAGTAGTGCTTTTAGGCTCTTATACATGAGCTTTTTACACTACATGTTTTAATTTCACAGCCCTAAACATGAGCACAATGGTTTAAATGATCCATTAAAAGTGATTGTGCAACTTATTTTAAAGTAACTTTGTATTAAATAGTGTTTACTGTTCAGTGGAACAGTGAAGGCAAAGATTAGAAAAACGTATCCCTCTATGATGAAATGACTCGCATGATGGATTTATGTCTGTTTTGAGAGAAGCGGTCAGCTGTAATGATGAACATGTACACTTGGAAAGTTTTGTGTCCTAAATAATTGTTTCAATATAATACTCTTGTCTTCCCAGACAGTCAACACTAATCATTTTATTTGTAATTCCAAAACAAAATGAAAAAAACATACATTTTTACCCACAGAGGTCTCATACTCCACACAGCCAGGCACAATATTAATACAATAAAGAGTATAAAACGTGAAGACTGAAAATGTGTGCTGGTGATGAACGCCTGTGGTCCCATCCTCAGCTTTAGTGATGGAGAATAGCCCCTCACCGGTTGCCATGGCGCCCAGCAGCAATCCATTTCTGTTCAAGTGCTTTGACGAACTAAAAAGAATAAAAAAAAATCCCTAGAAGCAGTCTGAAGCTGTGAGGAGGTGCTCGCTCTCTTCTTGGAAAAAGTGTTTACTGCCTTGTTTGTGCTTGTAGAAGATTTGAGAGTTTCCTCTTGTAGCTTCTGTGGCACAGTTCATTTGGGATTTAGGTCACACTCGGCTTACTGGCCTCCATTTAAGTTTGTTTCCTCCACTTTCACCTCAGCCAACACAGGTAAAAAAAAAAATATCAAGACTGAATGTTTTGCAGAAAAGACCCAACTAGAAACATCTTTACTGAATCATTTCTGTATTGAAGAAGAAAGATAATAGAGGCCAAGCATTACAAAATAACAACGGTCTGTGTTAGTCTGTCCTGATCCTCACTGTCCTGACCTGACATGACCTCCCAGGAGCAGCGGTGTTTTTACCAAAGAATGTTAGTAAAATATATCTACAGTCATCACATGGACGTCCTCAAATAAAAAACCAAAAGTTTGATCAGCTGCCAAGCAATTAAAGATAATTACAAATGCCTGGGAATAGTTAATACACAGATTATTTGCTTCTCTTGTTTTGTTAATTTTTTTAAAACTATAAGTTTTAATGAACTGTTTGTCAGAACCCGTCGTAATGTACATGTCTATATTATCATCAATGGACGAATCATTGACCACTCATCCAGGAAGTCCCTAAAGAACCCAAAACAACATCTAAAGCCCCGCAGGCCTCACTTGTCCCAATTAAAGTTAATAACAAGAAAGAGATGACGAGCAAAAATGGAGGGTTTAAAGGTCAAAACCGCATTTGAGCCCCAAAAAAAGTAAATAAACAACACAAAAAGGCTGGTCTCATATTTGCAATAAATAAATAAATATATAAATAAAATAATGGACAGCGTCTGTCTCTCTGTGAAAAGGGGAGGGATGTCTATGATTGTCATCGTTGTATGCTCCCATACAATGGCGAAATTAGTTCTCTGTACACCCAGGTGGAGCAGTGGGCAGCTATGTAAGCGCCTGGGGAGCATTTGGGGATTAGATGTCTTGCTCAGAGACACCATGACATATGGGAATGGCTGGGAGTTGAACCACAACTTCCTGGTCTTCAGTCGGCTGCCCTAGCTCGGCCTCAAAAAAGGTCACCAGATCAAATCCTGGCCGGGGGCCTTTCTGGGTGGAGTTTGCATGTTCTCTCTGTGCATGCGGGGTTTTTCTCCAGGTACCTGGGTTTCCTCCCACAGACTAAAAACATGCATGTTAGACTGATTGGTAACTAAATTATCCCTAGGTGAGAGAGAGAGAGTGAATGGTTGTTTTTCTCGTTTGTGTCCCTGTGATGGACTGGAGACATGTCCAGGGTGTCCCCCGCCTCTCACACAGTGACTGCTGGATATGGGCACCAGTGACCCCTGCGACCCAAAAAGGAAAAAGCGGGTAAAAGATAATGGATGGATGATTTCCAAGACTTTTGGAAAAATATTCCCAGTGTATCAGGTTGGACCTTGAGCTAGGGTGCACTTGGGTTGGCCTAATGTTTTTATGCTACTAGTGTTTAGTTGATGTTTTTCTTAGTTCACATCTTAGATCTTATTACTGTTTTTCTTTTACGTTTTATTGTTGGATGTAACTGGGACCCTGTGTACATAAATTTGTTCCACTACATGTATCACATGGAGTGTGAATGACAAATAAAGAACCTTGAATCGTTGAATCCTTGATCTGAAGCACAGCAGCGAAAGATTCATCACCACTTTTTACAAACTCTTGATTGCAACTGTTGCTGCCATTGCCGACCCAAGGGAACCTCTGTCCTCATATACGGTCAGGTTGGCTTAGATAGACTTTTTATTCCTTTAATTAAACTCATCATTTAAAAACTGCATTTTAAATATACTCAGGTATTCCTTGGATCATATATATATTTTTTTTAAATTTTTTTTCTCCCCTTGTCTTGTCCGGCATTGTGACACTCAGAATTATTGTCTGAGTGTCAAAGTGATGCCCAACAGATTTACTTTCACAAGCAGAGCATCATGGCTGGCCTTAATGCTCCACTTAATATATAAATTAAATTTTATTAGAATATGCTTTGGGTTTGTTCCAGATGTAATGGACACGGGAACGGAAAACAAAGAAGAAAACAAAGCAGAAAAGTGAGAGAAGAGTTAAAATGTAAAGAAGGAGATAGGAATAGAGGAGAGAGAGAGAGGGATAAAGAGAACACAAATCAACATCATTGAAGTCTGACTCTAGACCTGAGGAAAGAGAGAAAAAAAACACGACAAAACCGAGAAACCACAACAACAAACAACTTATATAATGATACTTATAACATCATTAGAAAGTATTTTATACAGTACATGGTAATACAATATATATTTTATGGCCACCACAACCCAACTGAGTGTGTATCTGATAAACACCTGAATCTAAACACCTGTGTGAGCATGATTATCACTATAAGGTTTCTCATAAAAATGTTCAATAGTGGATGTGGGGACTCATAAACCCGTCCCCACAGGACATGAAGGTAACACAGGGAAGACCGGAACCACAGACACACAGTGGCCCCCAAGCCTGGAACTCCGGGAGTCCCCCAACAGGGACACCCGCACACCCCAGAGAGAGAAGCAAAGGGAAGCCCCGGGCGACCCCCAGCAACCACAATGCAGAAACCCCCAGGAGGCCGTAGCAACGAGTCAACAGGCCCCGCCGGCAACCTGCCACTCCAGTGTGGATCTGGCCATGGACACCAAGCCCCGAGTCCCGAGGTCATAGCACCCCCCAACAGAGGCCCGACAGAGCCAGGGCACCCAGGCCCCCGCAGGCAGCCACCAGGGCGGGCCTGCACACACCCCACCACCCAGCCCCAGCTGCTGAGAGCCACCAATGCACCAGCGGCAGGGGGGCCCACCACCGGAGGGGAGCACGACACACCAAATGGGGGGCCAAAACTGATCCAAGAGAGGGGACCACCTAAAACCCAACCTGAGACAAACAGGCACACAGAGACAGCCCGACAGAGCCTCTGTCGGGTCGTCCATGCGCCCCACCCGCCCAACAGTGACCGCAACCCGGCCCCAGGCCGGGGGCCAGAGCAGCAGGGAGCAGCAGCTGAGGAAGGCCGGTCCAGCACACCAATGCATCCCTAAAGCCCCACACCACAGGCCCGGAGAGGCCCCAGCATGCCACCCATGCTCCCTCCCCCCCACACACAGCACCCCCCACTGTGAATGTCACATCAGGCCGACCAGCCAGCACTTCGTCGAAGTGAAGCCATGCCCCCGACCGCCGCCATGCACTACCAACGACCACACACACACACAACCACAGCCGACCCCCCTGCCAGAACCCGGCAGCCACCCCAGCCAAAGGGCTGGCCATCGGAACCAGGAACCCCGATCAAAAGATCCGAACAATCCAGGGAGAACCGGAGCACCAGCCCCACCCCTACCCCCAATCGCCCCCCAAGGCCCAATACCCACCCACAGCCCAGACCCCAACCAGGCAGCCTACACCCCCCCCCCTATGCCCCCGCCCCCGCCCCCAAATGTCAGACGGAGAATGAGGGTTTAAGGGTTGTATCCTTAAATCCTTGGCTCATATTAACATTTGTATATTCAAGCTTGAACCCGATTTGCCAACACACTAATTATGTAAGCATTAATTAGTTCCATCATTGAACCGAACATCACACATGTTGTTTTGTAACAAGTGGCTGATGGAGCTGTGTTGCTCCACAACCGTCATTGATCACCAGCTCCTCTCTCACCCACAAAGACTCACATCGATCAGTTTTAGTCGGCACAGTGGTGTCCAGGAAACTGACCTCCAGTTGCCTCCGCTTCAAGTCAAACGCTGACATTTGAACTGTCTCGACTTTTAAATATTTTATGCAAAC